GTTTTCATTTATTTTGTATGTTAGTTTTAATTGAGGAATATGCCTAAGGGCTTTTTAATGAAAGGAAACAAAAATGTGAGTTTTATATCAACAAAAACGAAAGCACAAGTTTTATAAAATTTCTAAAAATATGTATTTATATATGTTTGCATATTATTTTTATATTTTATGCATACGCAATACGTTAGTGCATTAATTGAATTTTTTTTTTAATTCAGTACGCGCTAGTGTAGCAGTAGCGCTAGCCAAATATTATGCAAATTATGTGGTTCTTAATCAACATTTATTTCTCTTTTACTCATTTTCATACGCGAATCTCAATTTAATTTGTTAAGCAATATGCAATTCTTGCAGCGAGCGGTAGTAGCAAATTTCATAAACAATTGCTATTTAATAAACACAATTTCACAGCCTGCATTCTGTGAATACAGTTATCGCGTTATATGTAAAAATTAGCAACAAAAACCGGCACTTTTTAGCAATAGAGTCACCCCAAACAGAGCTAATTATTTACCCAAAGGGGAATAACCAAAAATTTGTGATATTTGCTGCTTTTTGTGCTGGTGTTTTCTAAGTTTAAAGTAAATAATATATTTACATGTTTATATATTTGTATGTAGTAATGCGTTTGCTTGCTTTGGGTCTTATAACTTTTTTTTTTTGTCATATTTGCACCTGCTTAATTTTTTATCGCACCAACTTCATTTGTTTCACTTATATGACTTTGACTGTCGCACAGCAGCTGTTGTAATTCATTATTTTGTAAAGGCCTGCTCTTTTTTTCTTCTTAACTGTTGACATTGTCAAGTTGTACAACAATAAAAATATTACAAAATATTTTTTTTTGCTTGAGAAGCGCCTGTGTTTTTCCATACCACATTTATCGAAGAATTTATCGATTGCAAAGTCATTTCAGTGCCGAAATTCTACAATTTTCAAAGAGACAGTAGTAAAAAATAAATTAGTAAAAATATAAACTCTTTAAAGTTACTTGCTGTTGCAATTACTCAGCCCTCAAAGCCTTCAAAGCCCTTAAAAGTAAAAAAATTTAAAAGGAACATTCGCGTAAAGTCATTTATTGACTTAATAACTCAACAACAAAATGTAAACCTTGCGTTTTAACATGTTTGTATAAGTGAGGTTGCAAAGCAGCGAATTGCAGTGCACCTGTTGCTATTTTTATACGCTGACAGGGACAAATATTAAGTTTTTTGCAAGTCATGAAAATGCACAAAACAGTCACATGCATACAAATGTACATATGCAAATACTACATACACAATTTTCGGTAAACATTTCAGTTATTAATAATGCAAATAAAAATATAATTATATGTACTTAATACTGCATAACTGCGCTTTAGGGTGGCACTGCCGATTCCGTGAGTCGCATTTGCGCGAGCCAAGTGAGCTTAAAGTGTGGCTGACAATGTAAAAGAGCGTAGTTAGCGTTTACATTGTCATCTCAAATAACGAAATGCTCATGTATTAAGTATTATTTGACTGAAACAAAAATTGTACAAATTAACGTAAAAATTATTTAAAAAAAAAAACTTAACAAACTTTAAAATATTTAATTTTTTTATTAATATTTACAAACCTATAAAAAATTTGCTTTACTTTTCAAAAAAAAAATTTCAATTGTTTTTTTAATTCTTACAAATTTTCAAAACTTTTCTTTAATTTTAAAAGTTTTTGAAAGTTTTTAAATTTTTAAAATTTTACCCAAAAAAAACTTTTAAAATTTTTGTTTTTACTTTTCAACATTATTTTGTTTTATTTTTACAATATTTGAAATTTTTTCTTTATATTATATAAATTTTCAAAAGCGATTTTTTTTAAGTAAAAAAATTCAAAACCAATAATTAAGTTGATTTAACTTTTAAAAGTTGGTCCAAACATTTTGCTCATACGCCGTGTAGGCTATTTGCAGATGCAGTCCTGCAAACTTGAATAACAAACTGAATAAGCGCAGTTGGCATTGTAATTTTTTTTTTAATTTTTACAAATTTTCAATTTTTTTTTATTGTTTTCAAGTTTTCTACATTATTTTCTTTTATTTTTAATAATTTTAAAAATGTTTTCTTTAATTTTTACAAATTTTCAAAATTTTTTCTTTAAATTTTACACATTTTAATAAAGAAATTTTTTAAGTAACAAAATTTAAAACCATTCATTAAGCAAATTTGCCGCAGCAAACTGCAAAGTTCTTGAATTAACTAGCCGAATATGCGCAGTTGGTGCAAACATTTTGCTCATACGCCGTGTAGGCTATTTACAGATGTCACTGAAGTCACAGAGCCAAATATGCCTGCGTGACCACTTTTTTTATACTAAAATGTAAAAAAATTAATTTATTTAAAATTTTCCAGTAGTAATTCAGTGTTCTTTAATGGGTGTAATTTGCAAAATATAAAAAAAATATAAAGAATGCGCATTTCTCCACTATAGTGTAACACAGCTGGCAGCTTGACAGGTTTACAAGCTGCATTTGCCCCTTTACTTGCGTAAGGTGTATAAAAATAAAATTATATTGAATGTAGCATAATTTCTTTAATTGAATTTCACATTAAATTTGCATATAAAAATAATTAATTAAATGCGTTTGTATGTATATATATATATATATGTATGTAAGTCTGTGTGACAGCAAATTCTGTCACAAAATTTATGCGTACGATTAACTCATTAATAATATTTCCGCAAGTCTTAAACAATGCACATTGTAGAAAGAAAGGCGTGAATTTGTGAAGTCTTATAAATAAAATGTTGCAATTTGCAGTTGCTCAAGCATATTAATATGCATAATTGATTTTGCATACATAATTTAACATAAATTATTTATTATTGTTGTTTATTGCTATTGTTTGACTATTATTTTTCTTTATTACTATAGATATTTTGCATACAAAATTTAACAAAAATTATTTATTGTTATTGTTTGGCTCTTCAATTTGTAACTATTGTTTACATTTCCATACAAAACTATTTTTCTCGTGATATTAACCTAAGGCCTGCTATTCAAGTCTGAATAATAATAATTATAATTTAGACTTTACACTTTGTACCAAAACGTTACACAAAATAATTCATGCAATGAAATTGAACAAAACAATAATGTCAACCTTTCGCAAACTGTCTGAAGTTGACAGCCAGCCATCACATTTCCATTATTTACATGCAATTCGGTCAAGCGATAACGGCGCAAACGTGAGTGGTTGCCTGATTGCTTGGCCATTTGTTTGCGTTGCGGCAGGGAAGCAAAGCATAACGTCAAACAATAACCAAAAATAGCGACATAATATATTTATTATAATATAATATATTAGTAGCACTAATTTTAGAGCAAATAATTACAGAAAACTCATAAAGCGCAAACATTTTCCAATTGCTTTGTGCACATGCTTGAAATTTTTTGTTAATGATTATGTGGTTTGGGGGCATTAAATTGGCTGTGACGCCAAAAAAAGCAATCAACAGCAAGAACGCGAGTAATCGCGTGTAATAACTTATTTTTTATCAACGTTGTTTGCTTGTAAAGACTTAACTGCTGTTTTAATTTGAAAAAGAAACTTTAAATATAACACAAGCTATTTAAAATATGCCAATTTGCTAGCAGTCAAGCCAGTGCTAAAGCCTTTGCAAATTGCAAAGAAAATAGCAAAAAGTGCTAAACATCATAGTAGGAAGAAACACATGGTAAAAGGAAGCTAACATAGCAAAAATTAATTTAAAAATAATTTACGTGCGATCTGAGGTTGGAAAGAGAAAGTTGGTGGAATTTTTAAAGTTTTAAAACGTATTTATCTAGATTTCTGTGGAGACTAGTACTGCTATAGCAAAAAGTTAGAGTTATAGTTAATAAAAAGAGCTACAACTTATGTATTTACAACTTTTTGAAATAACCTGAAAATTTATGTGAAAAATTAATGTAAGCAAGTTTGTGGTTTTTTTATTTTTAACTTTTGCTAAATTTTGTTTTTTTTAAGAAATTTGTTGTAAACTTTTGCTTCCACGTCTCAAACACATAGTATTTTTTTATATGAAATATTTAGTTTTTCACTTTATTGTAGCTTAATAGCAAAAAAGCAATCTAATTTTCAAACGAAAATTCTACATACATTTTAATTTATTTTACATTTTAAATTTTTGCTGCATAAACGCTCTGCTGGGTATGCAGAAATCAAAGTAACGTTTGCAAAAATGTAACAAAAGTCGTAAGATAATTTAGTGCGTATAATTTAAATTATGCTAACCACCTTGCTTTATTCATGATCGTACATTGTTTATACAGCCTACACAAGTGTTATTATTTTGCTTGCCAGTAGCAGCTTTTAATGCGCAGCTACATATCTTGCAAACAAAACATTTCATTATTCAAATTAAATACCATAATTAAAAGACGTCAGCAGCATTATTTATTTTAACTCTGTTCAACTCTGTTCAACTCTTAACTTTGTTTGCCTATGAAAGTATAATTTATTTATCACACACAGTTGTTTTTAATTCAACACGTATCTCTTACTACCTGCGCACAACGCGAGTCAACAATTTTCTCCAATTGATTTGCACACAATGTGGCTGAAGAATGGCTTAGGCGGCAGCATTAGCATGCAATTAAAAGGTGTTTATTTTAAGTTTAGAAATTTTACCGCATAAAAAGCAAGCAAAATTATTGAAATAATATTTTGGATTGTGCGAACTAACAATAACTGTAGCAAATTCGATAGCACTCAAAAAACACACTATGCATGCGCATGTTTGTTATACAAAATGTTATTTATTGTTAAACATATTTTTATTTTACGATAATAGTATTCTAAACATAAATGTCATATACATATGTATGTCTACTTGCACAGCTGGTTTGACAGCTACCCCTCTAGCAAATACGTTAGTTCTCAATAAAAACACACTATGCATGTGCATATTTGTTATACAAATATGTAATTGCGTTATTATTAAGTACTTTAATAACCACAAATTAGTGCATAAAATTACCATATTAAAATTCAATTAATATTTCACACAAAATCAATTTGTGGCATATGTAGCACTCTGTGCGCTTATCGTCATAACCTATGTCACTTCCAATGACATTCACCAGTGTATATTCTAGGCTTGAACTATTTATTAATTACTGGCAAATGTACTATCACTTTTTTATGCGCTTTGTTCGATGCTGTGCCAACACTGGGCGTTATTAGAGCGCGATCATCAGCGGCACGTGCCACACTGCCATTTGTAGCTTCCTCGCCACTGCGCCAATCATAGGCGTGAAAGCACAATCTGCATTACTTCTTTACATGCATAGTATATGCCCCACCACGGCATTTTTAAACTTGGTCTCAAACACACACACATAAGAAAATTGCAAAAAAACGTTGCTACAAATACAAGCCGTGCGTTTAGTTGTAGCTTTTATGCGCTCGCTGATTGCTACCGCGCTGCAATTTAACGACTTCGTGTGCTAACAATGTTCTAAAACAAACTTCGGCACAGTTTGACATTTGTTATTTTTTGTTGTTGTTTGTAAGTTTTATTGCTTTTGTTCATACTTTGTTTGCTCAATTAACCGATCCGCAATTAATCAATAAACGCTCAGCATCCTCACTCACCCTTCATCCTGGCGAACGCTCGCTCAGCACTCGCATTACGAGTTCGCTGTTAAAATTTCCATTTCGTTTCGGCGCTACGATCCGTTTCGAGTGCCACGCCGATTGCTCAGTGGGCGCATGTCTATGTGTGCGTGAGCTGAAAAAGTAACTGCGCTTTGGCACTACACATGTTTCATTTTCATTTGTCGTCGCTCCCCATACACACACACACGCACACACACAGAGGCACACACTGCCCTGCAACCAGCGTACATAGCTTGAGATTCGGCCAGCCACCGTCGAAGCACGCATCGCACTTGTTTCGCCGCTAATATTTAAGCAACTGTCGCCGATACAAGTGTAGTATAGCGCTTTCGACGCTTATCAACGCAACATTGCAAGCGCACGCAAACCACAGCAGCGGTCGATCGGTCAACTTAATACGGTACGTCAAATAAGTCAAATAAGAAAAATAAAAAGTTAAGAAGTAAACACAGTTTCTCCACGACGTTCTTTACATTTGCAATTATTAGCGAATTGTTATAAACACGCTGCGCGCAGCGACAATTTTGTGCTCGAACGCGACTTGTTAGTAGCAAAAACATAAGCGTTTGCATTTGTAAAGCGAAAATATCAAAAGGAACACAATACAAGTTTCGTATCAAACGCCTTTTCAAATAGCTCGGCTCGAATGCGCGTGCGTATTGCAATAGCTGGTTCAGTGTTGTGTGTGTAAAGTGTTTGAAAACTTCATGTTTTCGTCAAGCAAATACCACAGTAGCAATTATAACAACAACAAAGTGCAATTGTATTGTGATTTTACAAAGACTACACGTAGAACTAAGAAGTATAAAAATTCGTTCACATAACGATAGCTTTTCACATTTTGTTCGACAACCAGCGAAGTTGTTCTTGACAAAATCCGTTATAAAAACTAAACAAACTACAGTTTGACTTTATTTTATTGAAAGAAAATACAACAAATACTCACAATAAAGAGCTACAAATTGAAGGAGCGGCAAATAAGCGTCATAATAATTTCAATAAACAAGCGCAAACGAAAGGTAAATTGATGAAAATCACTCACAAACGTGCATAAATGTGAAATTATTTAGCAAATAATCACAAACGAAACGTGACCAATGAATTGCTGTGCGCCGCAGTGTCAAACAATAAACAAAAGTTAAAAATAACAAAGTGGCGGGAGGGCGTACAGTAGAAAATGTAGTGTAGTTTTTATAGAAATCATTAATATTGTCTGCAATTAGAATTAAAAAGCATTTAAAACGTTTATGTTGAGCGCAAATTTTGATTTGAAGAAAATACCAAAATTTGCAATACATAACCTAGACGACAAATGTGTACTCGTATCTCGGCAAGATTTTCTTTCACAAAAATGACTTTTCAATTCATATTATACATTCAAAATATTTTTTTTATACAAAAAAATAATGCTTTACATAAATAAAAATATAACTCGAAAACATTTTTTTTCAAAGAAATTATTTTTTTAATGAATATATTCCTAATTTTAATAAATTTCATAAATGCATATGTATTTCTGGAAACACAAAAAAATGTTTCATGTTTAGTATATTCATAATAATATTTTTTGAAAATGATTTTCTACTAAAATGCCTGCCGCCATGCCAATTTGCAAAGTTTCTCCACCAAAGTAACCAGATTATTAAGCTTACAGCAGAGAATGTTATTAAATAGAGAAGGCGCAGTGACATAAGACTCTGCTCATGGCAAGATTTGCAGCCTTAAAAAAATTTGTCACAGCATTTAGTACGAGACCTTGTCTCATTTAAAATAAAAACTACACAAGTTTGATTGATGAATTCGAATGTGATTTTCTCTAAAAGCCAATTATTATGCAGTTCTACTTTTGGAATCTAAAAATGACGCAAACCACAATTGAAGCTTCTTTGTCTTGGTATTCTGAGCTCTTGTCTAAACGAAATTTTAGTGTGAAATAGAAACTTTCGTATGAACTATATTTTTGCGGTCGCATACACTGTAAAACCACAAAGGTTGCACGAAAATTATATAAATAAAATTTCTTGCGAATTCACATTTTTAATATGGAAGTCACATAGTTTTCACGCATTAAAAAAATCCTTTTCTGCGCGTTTTCACTCACATATTTGGTCAGAATTTTTACTCATCATTTATTATTTAGCACACGCAAGCCAAATTCATTATAAATAATTGCTAAAATAAGAATAAGCAGCCGCAGAGTTATATTTTCATATTTCAATTGTTTATAAACATAAAAGTCAATTGTCAGTTAATGGTTGTGGTTGCCACTTCACGCAACCAGCATCATTTTATGATTCGCAAAATTTATAAATGTCCTCATAGCACACTCGTTACAAGCAAATGATTTATTTGTAACTATGCGATATGCTATTTAGCACAACAGAAGTAATTATTGCCATTTATAAGCGCTAATAAAACAGACATTAACTTAAGGAATTTCTAATGAGACTTGCAATATTTTTGTTGTTTTCTGCTTTGTGAACAGTATAAAGTGGTGAATTTAGGCGAAACAAGTTTTGTAAGGCAAATAAACTGCACAATTGTTGTTATTGCTAACTGCACTTTATATGCACACACACATATTCACACACTAGAAAGCGCAATTCTCGCGTTACGGCGCTCACCTGGCGGTATTGTCATTGAACCTGATTTTGCAAACGCCAATTATTTGGGCAAGCGATTAGCGCCACTAAAGCAAACTGCAACAATGTGCACGTAACAGCATGTTAGTTGTTGTATTTGTTTCAATCTTGCACTTTTGTTTTCCGATTTGCGCATTGGCGCAAGCCAAGTCAAAGTCGAAGTCCAAATGAAGGAGAACAGGAACTTGTTGGTTGCAACTAAATACTTTTGTTTTGTCGCTATTTTTATGATGATTACTTGCTGTATTAATATTTCAAAATAAAAAGCAATTTGCTATTGTTTGTGTTACATTTGTCGCATTTTTTGCGCCAATAGCGGGCAGTGCATTTTGCTTTAGGCTTTTTAAGTGTTATTTGTTGACATTCGTATTTATTGCTAAAGTTAGAATTGATGCCAGTTGATTGCAAATATTTACTACATTATTTAATGCAAGATTGCGCAAGATATTGGCGGCAAGAGATGATGAAACCAGTGTAAAATGGCAATTTCTATCAAAACAGTAGACAAAGTGACACAGCACTAGCAGCAAATACAATAACAATTGTATTGAAAATATTATATTTGCCAGCTTTCGGCATAAAGCAACACTTGCGCCATAACACTTAAATAGAACGCAGTGCAAGCCTCAATTTATTGCTAGCACTTGTGCATACTAACTTACGTAATATGTATGTAGGTAAATTTGCATATTGCATTTTAACATATTAAAATAATACACACATAAATAACAAACTGATCGATTTCCTCATTCATCAATGACGTTTTTTATTGCGGCATTTTCTTTTTGCCATAGTTGGCTTAAAGTTGCAAACAACTAAAAATTAGTTAAAACATTTGTATTTACAAAAAAGTGTGCGATATTTGTTTCCTAGTAGTATTATTTTATGCAAACAACAATCTAAATACACCACGAATTCAAATGCGTAAACAGCGCATTCGAAAACACAACACCCTGTGCCGCTGAAATTTTTGAATATTCATTTCACCTTGCACTCATGCAAGTTGACAGCAAGCACGCAGCAGCGGCAATGCAAAAGCAGAATTCAAATGGAACGGTTAATGCATAACGGGCATAACTATAAAACAAGTAAAATCATGTTCTAAAAATTCAAGTGCCATTGAATTGTACGAAAGTTGCATGTGTTATTTTGCAGTTAAAGAAAATGTAGCATACACCTTTTGGTTTGTTTGTGTGCGCTGTTTAACTACTTTGCCAAGTCAAAACAAAGCCTGAAACAATGCTTCTACATAGCACATGCTTTTCATCTAATTTTTGCAAGAAATTGAATTGATTTGCTTAAGCACTTGATTTTTTCGTAATAGTAAGATTTACGGCATATACATAGGTACATATACGCAGAGAAATATAAAAACGCGACTAAATAAGGCATAGTTGCGATAAACTAACGACTTGAAAGAAAATAACTACTTCATCAGCAAACAACAACTTAGACACACTTATTGATAAAAAAATACACATACTTAACTATGCACTTGCGTTATACACCAAACAGTCATACAGAAGCGTTGTACTCTAAAATTAATACAAAACACGAAAAAATGTTAACTTCGGCTGCATCGTAACTATAATACCCTACACAGTTGTAATTCTTATAGCATAAAAGCGTAGAAACAGTGCTTTGTAGCTTGTAGCATTCGCTTAATAATTAAATAAAAAAGTTTTTCATACATAAACGTGATTTTGAACGATCAGTTTGTATGACAGCTATATGCTATAGTGATCCGATAACGGCTGTTACGACAAATGAGCACCTTCCTGACAAATGAGACTTGTTCGCATAAATTGATCCAGTTCGCACCCTGATCATATATATACATATGTATATGGGTTCTACAAAGTTTTCTTCTGGCTGTTACAAACTTCGTGGCAAACTTCAGGGTATATTCAGGGTATAAATATATATAATATAGCGATTATTTCAAAATAGGTTTGTTGGTCAAGTCAAGTCATTCTCAATTTCTTCATAGCTCGAACAACTCAGCCGCGCTTTTTGATGACCAATTTGCACGTGCACAAGTACATACCTAAGTGCTTGTACTGGTGTTGTAAAAACGTCATTTGCAGCTGAAGATATTGTTGCTACAAATTATTGTTTGGCAGCAACTCCAATTAATTAG